GGCGCGATGGCACAAGTGGTTAAGGTCCTCACCTTGCACGCCCGGGATCCCATATGGGCGCAGGTTCTATCCCAGCAGCCCCGCTTCCCTTCCAACTCCCTGCCTGTGGCCTGGGAAAGCAGTGGAGGACGGCCCAAAGCTTTGGGACCCTGCACCCGTGTGGGAGACCTGGAAGAGGCTCCTGGCTTCGGATTAGCATAGCATTGGCCGTTGCGCTCACTTGGGGAGTGAATCATTGGACGGAAGATCTTCCTCTCTGTCTCTCCTCTCTGTATATCTGCCTTTCCAATAAAAACATAATAAAAATAAATCTTTAAAAAAAACCCTAATGTTTATTCCTTTATGGGATCCCTGAGGGCCAAGTGGGAGAGTTTTGAGATTATTTTAACTGATATATGTTAGCATCAAATTGAATGAAGTAAGTGATCCATGGACCAAAAATGTTCTGACTATAAAAAACAACCATTGATTTTTATAGAGTTCTGGGTTATTTGCAAAGTCATTCAGCTCAGTGCTTATACATAGAGAGGCAAACTCTCCCCAATGTGTTGAAGCCATACTAGGCCATTACTTGGGCAGTTTGCAGATCTCTCTCTCTATGAGCAAAAGCAAACAAAATGAAACTACAATAAAGAGATAGGGAAAAATATCTAACCAACAAGAAGCAACATAAAGAAGGAAGAATTTAGAACTCAGATGGTAAAGTAACTTTTTTAGTAACTTTGTTGGATGGATAGATGAATGAATGGATGAACAAGATAATTTATAAACCTTTAAACCCCTGAATTCCTGCAGTTAAAGGTTTGTAATAGCAAAGAGAAAAAGGAATTATGTACATGTTGATAATCTGATATCTTAAGGTAGCATCTTAAATTCTGTAAGAGAGCTAATTTATTTTTTTCTTACTAAAGGCAGTGCTTTCCAAAGTACCTTCTACGATGCTGGAATGATTGCTGCTTACACTGTTCAATAGTCATGTAACGCAAGTGGATATTTGAAATGTGGTTGTGTAAATGAGTAATTGAATTTCCACCTGTACTTTTAATAATGTGAGTAGTTACACATGGGGTCATAGCCATGACAATGGACAGTGAAACTCCAGAATGACAGAAACATCATAAATATCTAACAGAGGCATTTTAGTTTGATTTTTAATGGTTCATTTTTTTTTTAATTGAACACAGCATTTCTGCAGTGATTTTACCAGCCATGCTATATTTCCAGCTCCTTTACTTCTGTTTTTTATTTAATTTTTTTTAAGATTTATTTTATTATTTTTTGATTGGAAAGGCAGATATACAGAGAGGAGAGACAGAGAGGAAGATCTTCCGTCCGATGATTCACTCCCCAAGTGAGCGCAACAGCCGATGCTATGCCGATCTGAAGCCAGGAGCCTCTTTCGGGTCTCCCACGCGGGTGCAGGGTCCCAAAGCTTTGGGTCATCTTCTGCTGCTTTCCCAGGCCACAGGCAGGGAGCTGGAAGGGAAGCGGGGCTGCCAGGATTAGAACCTGTGCCCATATGGGATCCCGGGTGTGCAAGGTGAGGACCTTAACCACTTGTGCCATCGCGCCGGGCCCCCTTTACTTCTGTTTTAAATGCTGCCTCTTATGCTTCAAAAACAAGAAAACATTCTACTTGTTTTTCTATGGATTCTAGGAGATATGCCACTTGATGCTGAAGCTGTTAAGGAGAGAGGGAGGACAGACAGTGCTCAGACCAGCATAAGGGAAAGGCTACAAGAGGCTGCATCTTGGGAGGAACTGACAAGCTTGGGCAAGAATAGGTGTTGTGCAAACAGTCACTTGAAGGCATAAATGAACAATATACACTTGGTATGATACTCAGAACATAGTAGGCTTTTTGCAGATGTTTGTTAAATGAGCCTGGGATCTGGACCTGGTAATGAAGGCATACCCAGTTAATGGGCAGGATCACTTAGTAAAAGGGTTCGAAGGAACAACCAGTCTAGAATCTAAAATAAGGATCAGAACAGAAGAGAAAAGCCCAAGAAAGGGCCCCCAGTACAGATCAACGGGAGTGAAGAGGTGCCAGCTGCCTGTTAGCATGTTGTCAGGGCCATCGTGTCCCACTGAGCCCTTCAGGCTCAACCATTCCTATCCGGACCACATTGGACAGGGCATCAACTATCCAACCACATGCTGGATTCCTGCCTCAGTGACTAGGGAGTTTTTCTCAGGCTTTGTGGCCTCTTACTACCCATTCCTGAAATAATTTCTGGTAGCTTTCTTTGTAACTTGTGAATTGATAATAGTAACTTAATAAGAGCCTCATAGGCACAATTTGTTATCACGCACTGAGGTCCCATAAATATACAAGTTTTGTAGTTGTGTCTTGGAGATGATACAAAAGTGCTTCATTGGGCCCAAAACTAAGAATATGATAAACTTGCCCAATGCCAAGCAGTTCTTTGACTTGTGAGGCCTGCCTCACACTCACCCAGCTCAGATCCTAAGGCCCTGCATGTTCCCTCCTAGAATTTCCGTGTTGGAGACTCTAGTAGTAGGGCTCTGTTAAACTGCCATTCTTGCTCTACACAAAGTCTATTCCCCTTGATTCTTTTTGCTTAACACATCATTCTCTTAGGCTTTTGTTTGTTTGTTTTCATATGTCAATAGCTGACAATGAAAAATGGTGTCCAAGCATTCTTTTTCTTTAGGGTAGTCACAGGAAAACTTAGTTCTACAGTGACTTGACAAGATGAGAATGTCATCATTTCAAGGAGAAATTGAACTAGTTACTAATTCAGCCACTAATGATATTGAAAGTCGAATTTCTTTAGCAGAGTCACACATTTTCAGGTTGAGAGTTAAGATTTATCCCATTCAATTCATCTATTAATGTGGATGGAAAAAAGGTTCAAATTAGATTAATGCCCCCACCCCCACTACTGAAGAGGCTCCTCAGTGCGATGGGGACCAGAGGGCTTTCTTTTCACTTCGTCATCTTCCTCTTACCCTAAGCTAACTTGTGCTTCTGTTTTCCCTAAGAGGGAGGAAATATCAGGACTCCATTGTGTTGCAGTGGAGGTAGTCCTTTTTCTCTGTATTGTCACATTGCTTTCAGAGCTGTTCTGAATAAAAATGTACTTTTAAAGAGATCTCACATTCCAGAAAGCTAACATCTGATTTTCATGATCTCATTAGCATCATTGTCATATACACACTCTGATTTTTGAAGATGAAGAGAAGTGAGGGTTAATTTTTTTGTGAACATCTCAAAAATAATGAAGTGACCTTTCTAGAAGTGTGAATTTTCCTATTTACTTCACCATGAGAATTTTAGAAAAATTGAAGGGAAATTTAAAAAATCATTTACGTTTTACAAGCTAAACATTTTTAAAATTTGGGAATATTCTGTGTAATTTTACTCTTAACACATAAAGGGCATAAGATAGTTTACAAACACAAACACCAATATGTAAAGGGAATATTTCAGCTCTAGATATCAATTTTTTGTTGTTGTCTCATTTTACTCATGTCTCTACCAATGGTCAAATTTTAAAAGAAGAAAATCAAAGATAATTCATAAAAATTACATTTTAATGATTTATTGTACCTGCCTAGTAAAGATATTTATTATTTTCCTTATAAATGTACTTTAAACATTGTGTCATGGTCAGACATTGTGGTACAGTGGGTTAATATGCCATCTGGGATGCTTGTATTCCATTCCAGAGTACCTGATTGGTGTCCTGGCCACACTGCACTGCTGATTCTGCCTCCTAGCAATATCCTTGGGCAACAGTGCATGATGGCTCAAGTACTTAGTTTCCTGCTACCAAAATGGGAGACCCAAACTGTGGTATCTGGCTTCTGGCATTGACTGTTGTGGGCATCTGGGAAGTGAACCAGTGGATGAAAGATCTCTATCCTTTTAAAAAAAAAGATTTATTTTTTTACTTACTTTTACTTAAAAGGCAGATTTTTCAAATAGAGAAGGATAGAGAAAGAGATATCTGTTGATCTTTTTGATTTGCTCCTTTCCCCAATTTTCAAGTAGAAAAAAATAAACACAAAAAATTTTAGAAGCGTTTTTTTTTTTCTTGTCAGTGTTCATTATATTTTTGTAAGCTCAGAAAGCATTATGGAATGATCCATTTCTTTCTTTTTTTCTTTTTATTAATCTTACTTAGTTGCTTAGGGTACAAAGGGTCAAGGGTTACGGAAAGTGGGTAATACCATTGTTTCCACACTAGTCTAGTATCTTCATTTTTTCCCCCCTGTATCTGGGGTCAGGGGGAAACAAAGGGAAAAGCACCACCCATTCCAAGTCCCCATTGTGAGGTGCTCTCCAAGGGTCCTGCGCAAGCAGTTTTGATAGTTCAACAGTTCAGAATTGCTGCCAATCTTGCTATTCCAATCGCAATGAAATCTATGCAGAATCTACTGGCTGACATAGTCTCCTCACGGTTAGGGTTCTGAGATCAGCAGTTCAATTGGAGGGATCTCCAAAGAAACTTCATCTGAGGTGATCCCAGACCAGATGCTTGTGTGTGCTTGCCAGTACAGGGTCCAGCACAGTCCTTTGCCCCAGTCAGCTTATGCACATGCTGGTGGTTGCAATTGCTGGGTCAGTTCTGTTTCCAGCCCTGTCTTCCACATGAACCGATGTGTGCTGTTAATGTGTAAATCTGGAATGCTTAGGTTTGATAACCACTGGATCCTGACTGTAGCTTCAAGCAATGCACACCATGGGACACAGCAAATCATGGCTCAAGTAACTGAATTCTTGCAACCAACATGGAAGACCTGGATTAATATCCCAGCTTTTGCTTTCAGCCTGGCCCAGTCTTTATTCCTGTTGAGCTGTCATCTTTTCACTTGTCAAACTCTTTATTTACAGGGCCATTAAGCCTTTGACTATAATGTAAATTAAAATATATTATTTCAAAAGCAAATAAATGAAAAAGTATGCAAACTGTTTCTTTGAGGCATTTAATAAAAATTGAATATCTTATAAATATCATATTAAAAAGAACTTAAAAAGGATATGGTTCTTGGAATATTTTAGTGAGTTTGATCTTGGTTTGTTTAAGGACTTTGGAAGTACTAGTTAGATTATGCATTTTAAGATAATATAGAATTAGTGGACTCTGACCTCCCAGATTGAAGAGAATGTGGTAAAACTCTGGACCATTGCTACTATAATGAGACTGTAAGGGGAAGAAAAGAAAATCAAGCCAAAGATTACTTTTTTATATTTAAAGAGCTATAAAAATATGTTATGTGTATAAATAAACTTATCATTTGAGGTATTAAAAGTAAAATTAAATACATATTATAAACTACCCAAGTAAAGGACTTTACCAAAGAATGAATGAATGATCAAGTACAAAAGAGCTCTTCTAACTTTTTGATTTGTCATCGAGCTTTAAGACAGGTCAATAGAGGCAATTCATTCTGAAGAAAGAAAAAGATAAAAGAAAATCCACAGAGCCAGGAAAGGGAGGAAGGAAAAATGATGAAGAAATCATGGCCTGAAGTTTCCAAGTTATGTAAAAACATGTTCAAGAAGTTTAACAAACTACAAATAGGATAAATTTGTACCTAGACACATCGTAGATAAAGAAAGTTGAAGACCAAGGGAAAATCCAAAAAAGCAGTGAAACAGCTCATCACATAGAAGGAACCCTTGGCTGATTGATAATCAGCTCCCTCCTCATCATAACGTCAGGGGCCAGAAGGCCAGAGATGTCCTAATTCCATAGTGGTGATAGTAAAAACAGTTACCCAACAATTCTATGTCATAAAAACCGTAACCATAAACATAGTTATTGCAGGATCTTATCATTGACTTCTTATGGGAGACAAGGACAGCAACTTTTTGGGCTTTAAGTCTTAGCTCTATCTTCGTATTGCCAAGCTGAGAGGGTACTACTGTTTATATCACTTTTGTGGAGAAAAGAGATTTTAATTTTTATTTGCTTTTAATGATTCATATAATTCTCCTGAGTTTCTTGTGCTTCTGACCACTTTTTCATTCTACAAGCTTTGATAAATAATGTGTGTTTCAGAATTTTTAAAATTCTTCCAAGTTATTTGAAATGATGGGAACCCAATAATCCAGAGCAATATTTGATGGCGAAAACATGTCAATGTCAGACATGTTTCTATTACATGTATCATTTCCTTAATCTTAATTTCTCACAGCAATCACATCAGATTATAACTAACATGCTTTTTAAAATGTATTCAGGAGAAAATATTTGGCTAAGAGGCTGCTTGAAACACTCCCATCCCAAGTCCCAACTCTGCTCCCAATTCAAGCCTTCTGCTAATGCATAGCCCCAAAAGGCAGCAGGCGATGGCACACGTGCTAGGTGCCTGTCAGTCACGTGGGACCTGAGTTTCCAACTTGACCTGTTCCAGCCCTTGCTATTGCAGGCACATGGGAGATGGTGCCTGCTAATGGAAACTCTGTGTATCTCTCAAGTAAATTGCATTTAAAAATTAAAAATATGCATAAATTTACACAGAACTGAACTACAAAACAGTTTAGTTTCCCTTTTCTTGATTTTTCCATGAGCAGTTTAAAATAAATATTATAACTTTCCTTTTTCGAGTAGTTATTTCTGTTATTTTTCTTCAGTTATCAGCTTTTAAAATAGGGGAAAGCTATAATTCATAGCTTCTTAATCCTGTATTGAGGATCCATTATTTTTAAGGATACTTCAACTGGCCAAGAGTAAAAGCCCAGTTGAAAATTTAGTGTTTTATGGAGACAGCCATTTCTTTTTAAAAAACCAGTTTAAAAAACTGATCCTTAAGTTGCTGTTGTCCAAAAAACTCTTGAGGGAGAAACCCTAGATAGTCCAGCAAATCGAAAAAAAAAAAAAAAACGACAATGCTTCCATTCCATCTCACAAAGGATAAGTTTGTCCAAGACTTCCATAAACAAGACTCTTCTAGTCAGCAGTCAACTTAGCATTAAATTTCATCAAGCAATCCTATAGACATTGGAGGGGTCACCAGAGATGAACCAGTGAGTCTGAAGGGTAGTTCCAGGGTCCAAAGTTTCTGTAACTTTAAAGAAATATAACTGCTGACAATAAAGAGAAAAGTAAATTTGATTTTTGAGGTTTCAATGCCTGTTCTGCTGATAATTACATCCAGTGTGTCACTGTCAGTGACAGGGGGCTCACAGGCACACATTTAGCACTCAGACCACTTTGATGCTTGGAAATTTTCTTCGTCATAATGTTGAATTCCAATTTGTCTCCCCATAGCTTTCACTTACTGCTAATAGTTACACTTCTTGTAAACCTTAGAGAAAATCCAATTATGTACTATAGGAGTTCCCTATTTATTTTAAACAGTTATTACAGCATCTAGAATCATTTCCTCTTGATTTCAAAGTCCTTCATCATTCTAATTTTTCATTTAAAATACCTTTGTTGATCTACAGTCCTTTTACAATGTATGTCTCCAGGAGCTATTATACTGCACCAATTCTGTTCAATTAGCATGAAGTGTTTCCTACATGCTACGAACGAATTTTAAAAATTAACATTTTAATGAGCTACATTTCCCCTAAACAATAAAATAGTCAAGTACATGAGACTGGTTTTTCACATCAATTGCCACTTTACAAATTTTCTGTATTAAACTGTGCTGTAAATATACTTGCATGTTCTCTTTTTTGAGAATTATGGTACATGAAATGACAAGACTATAAAAAAAGATGTTTCTTTTTATCAATTGCAATAACACAATGTCCTTTTACAAGAAAAAAAGAACTGTAGGCTACAGAAAAAAAATGATAATATCCGTTGGGTTAATTGAGGTTTTTAATTTTAGAAGGTTCCAGTGAGGAAAATTTTCCGTCTCCCTGACAGGTTTCGCGCACACCGTCCCAGGGTGCAGGTGCTGCTTGTATATCTCTCGGGCTGTGTGTGACATTGTTTCCCGCTGAGGCACACATGATGAGAGCCATGTTCTTATCAATGTCGCTGATACGGAATCAACTCTTGCACAGGATTTTGCCCACTGTCACAAAAACTTCTGACCAGCTCAGGATGTGGTCCTGGGAAGTCAATCTTTAAGCTTGTTGTACAAATTCCAGAGGCACTGATGTGGCCTGATGTGGCCTGGGCAAATGCTTCTAGAGAAATGCCATGCACAAGACTTCAACCACCAAACAGTCAATGTAAAATCCTTTGTCAGGCGGCAATTTTGCAATGAAACTTTTCACCAACATAGCAGTCTGCTTCTCATTGATCACTCTAGTTTGATGCAAGCTATCTAGGCATTCTTGTGTGCTCTGTAGTCCAGCTACATAGCCCACTGGTTGTGGGGCAATGTTGTACTGTCCAGCTTTCATTGCAATCATAGTCAACACAAAGGCCTTCTGGAAGGCATCACAGACAACAGGCACTTTCACTTCTTTGCCTGAGGTCCTTACAACATCCTATTCATCTCCAGATTTGATATGTGGGGCCATGGCATGGTTTAGTGTGGTAATCACATTTTATCAAGCATAGATTTCACCACACGATTTCCAGCCACATGCTTAATAAAATGCCACATTCCACCAGCAGATGCTCCATCTTGACCCTGATTGATTCTAAAAACTTTCTTGTTCCTCTGGGAAAGCAATGGCCAACGTGGTTCCAGTTCCTTCTGCCAGATATTTCAAACTTGCTTGCTGCACATTGGGAGTTGGCAAAATACCAGTTACTGGGGTTGTGGGAAAAGATGGCATCAAGGGTATCTGTGGAGCTCTTCATGCATGCCCCTTTGTAAAGGTGTAAGTTGAACCAACAGAAAATACTGATAAAGGAGGACATGGAACCCGTGAAGACAAAATAACACTTGGAACAGAAGTTGAAGGTGCAAAGTGGGACAGAGGAAGATTATGGAAAGCAGCAGCAGCAGTGAAAGAGGACACAGGAGATGGTAGAGAAGTCCCAAGTGGAGGAACAGAAGAGCTGGGGAAGGTGTGTTGAGGCTCAGACAGGAGCAAGGGGTGGCTGAGGAATAGAATATACTTGTGGTGGCAAGAACTCCACAGGGACACGTGAGCAAAAGAGAAAGAAGAGTTTGCAGCTGAAGGGCCTGGAGTGGCAGATGTGGTAGCAGCTGTGGCAGCTGGGTTTGGTAGAGGAGTCCCAGATGGTGTTGTCCCTATTTTACTCTCATCCATTATTTTTTTTTAAAAAAATTATGGTATACTGATGTTCCAAGAGAGTATGTGTACTACAGTTACAAAGTGCAGGACACAGAGATCAGGGCATAGCATTGTGAATGGCAGAAGACAGGGAAGATGCAAACAGGAACTCCCTGCCCACTTTCCTGCTTCCAAGAGGAACCATTTTTTTTTTTAATTCTTAAATTCATATGTTGAAATTCTACTTTCTAATGTAGCAGTGTTAGACGTGGGGCTTCTGGGTGGTAATCAGCTTCAGATGATTCATCTATGATGAGATTGCTGTTCTTACTTCAAGGAGAAGGGACAAGAGCTCTCCAGGAACATGGAGAAATTAACCATTGAAGATTCCAGAGTAATGGGAGCTAAATGGCATCACTTATTCTGGGACCATGACTTGTGCTGGGAGGAGAGCAAACTATTACTAACATCTATTTGAGGTTTTCCCTGCCACTGATTTTGTTTTTTGAGATCACATGCCTGTGAAATCAGTAGAAGGAACCTCTGTGTGTCAAACCAAGGAGAAGCAGTAACAAGAAGTATTGTGGTACAAATCTAAATGCTATGAATTTTTCTTTGGAAATATTGTATTATTAAGATTAATACATTAAAATGTTTTTAATTACTATTTTTTCTAAAATTACGTGTTGAGATTATAACCAACATTGCCTACATGAAACCAGAATTTTAATTACACTGCAGATTTGACAAGTAAGAACATTTTTTATAGTTATTATATTCCAAACCTTTATTGCTGGTCTTGAGTCTTCCTTGAACGTGGACGATACAGAAACTCTTGCATTCTTTAATATTTTTGTGGTGTCCATGTCTATGGATAAAACACAAAATTACTCTTTTTAAAAAATGTAACTTCTTTCACAAAAAGAAATGAAGTTTGTTCATTTTTTCCTTTTAACAATGTATCCTAAACACGGAGAGAAGCAAAGATTAATGACAGAGGACTAGACATTGATATAACTTGTCTCAGTCATAGAAAATGAATGTCTTATTTCATGTTTTTACTAAGTGGGGACCTAAGGTTTATATAATTCTTTGATATACAGGTTCTCAAGCCATCCTCACAAGCCATGCTATGAGGTAGGTAGTATTTCTCACAATTCACAAATGAGAAAGCCAAAGTGCAGGAACTCTGTGACATGTTTAAACTACTACTTATGCAAATAAAACAAAATGTGCTGGGTCTAGGGAGGTAACCTAGTGGCCAAAGTCCTTGCCTTACATGCACTGGGATTCCATATGGGCACAGGTTCTAATCCCAGCAGCCCCACTTCCCATCCAGCTCCCTGCTTTTGGCCTGAGAAACCAGTTGAGAATGGCCCAAAGCCTTGGGATCCTGCACCCGTGTGGGAGACCCAGAAAAAGCTCCTGGCTCCTGGCTTTTGATTGGTGCAGCTCTGGCCATTGTGCCCGCTTAGGGAGTTAATTAGTAGATGGAAAAATACTTCTCTCTGTCTCTCTCTTCCTCTAAGTGTATCTGCCTTTCAGTAAAAATAAATAAATCTTTAAAAAAATAAAATGTGCTTATGAGAAAGAGACACGCAACCCTATATATATAGAAGTTTGATTTACAATAGTGAAGACATGGAAACAATTCAGACACCTGTCAAAAGATGAATGCATAAAGAAACTGTGGTACATCCATTCTATGGAATACTGTTCAGCCATAAAAAAGAATCCTACCATTTGCAACAAAATGATACCAGCTGGAAATCATTATGCTTAGTGAAACAAAAAGGACAAATGTCATATGTCTCTGATATAAAATGGCTTCTATGCAAAGTAAAAAACACATATATAGATGAACAAATATATACATATATTCTCATGCATGGATTATATAACGAAAACTAACATACCATAAAGCAACTTTATGTTGCAATATATGTCTCTACTCCTGAGTAAAAGTAGGGCCTCCCACTGAAATCTGTAAATACAACTGTGCAGTGTAACATTAGATTTTCTACCTTTGCCTCTACCTACCACATCATGATACGTTCAAATAGCAGAGAGTTAAACCTGTAAATGCTATTAAGGAGCTGTACTACTGTGAATAGCAAAATCTGGAGGAAATGGTGGAGGGGAAAATGGAGAGGGAAGAAGTGGATGGGAGGGAAGCAACTCTATACCTACAAAACTGTATCAGGGTAAATAATAAATATGTTTGAATAATAATGATTAAAAAAGAGGGCCCGGCGGTGTGGCCTAGTGGCTAAAGTCCTCGCCTTGAAAGCTCTGGGATCCCATATGAGCGCCAGTTCTAATCCCAGCAGCTCCACTTCCCATCCAGCTCCCTGCTTGTGGCCTGGGAAAGCAGTCAAGGACGGTCCAAGGCTTTGGAACCCTCCACCCATGTGGGATACCCGGAAGAAGTTCCTGGATCTTGGCTTCAGACAGGCATAGCATCGGCCGTTGCGCTCACTTGGGGAGTGAATCATCAGACGGAAGATCTTCCTCTCTGTCTCTCCTCCTCTCTGTATATCTGACTTTCTAATAAATAAATAAATCTTTTTAAAAAAAAAAAGAAAAAAGAAACAGGGAGGAAAACACTTCCTAAACAAAAGCTGAGAGCATACATCACCACAAACCTGTCCACAATAGATGCTGAAAGACATTCTTAAACATAAATAATGAGCTACTAATGAGCAAGAATATCAGAAAGTAGAAAACGAACTATATAGCTACACAAATCCAGACTGCTCTAATTTTATAAACCATTGTATCTTTAATTATAATTAATATTAAATTAGACTTAATGTTATGTAAATATACTATACTAAATGTATAGGGACTATATTAAAATGTTAGGAAGCAGGCAATATACAAAAAGGCAAAATGGAACATTAAAAATTCAAAATGTAGGGAGGAATGAAACACAAATATGGAGTTGTTATTTCTTTATTCTTATTTCTTTTTCTTTTCTCTTTCCCTATCTTTGTAATCAATGTTAACTTGTTACTTCAAAATAGCTTGTATGGTAAAATTGCTATCAACAATAGGCAGGCACTTTTAGAGAAAAATCATTTTTCACAAAGGAAAGTTGAAGAGAAGGAGACAGGAAAAAAATCTTCCATAAAGCCAGAAAATACACATCAAAATGATAGTAGTAAGACCTTATCTAAATTCCTTTAAATGTAAATAGATTAACTTCTTCAATCTCAAAGCAGGGAGTGACTAAAGTGGATAAAGAAAAAGATTCAACTATACAGTGCTCACAAAACTCACTTCACTTTTATGCCCACACATAGACCCAAAGTGAAAGGATGGAACAAGATACTTCATGCAAATGGAGTCCAAAAGAAAGCATAAGTAACCATACAGTTAAAAGATAAAATAGACTTTAAATTGAATCAGTAAAAAAGAGACCAGGGAGATCATTACACAATGATAAAGGGTTCAATATATCAAGGGGAAATAATAAGTATAAACAAACATGTATTGAATATCCAAACACCAAGACACATAAAGTAAATATTAGTAAGCCACAAGGATTAAGACTACAATAAAATATGGAGAGAAGACTTTAACACTTCAATTAAAAAAAAAAAGGCGAACTGCACCCGAGTTCACCTGTGGTATGAACTGACTTGTGAATTTTGCCTTACCTCTCACTTACTCTTTCCTTGGAATGGCTTACTGGCTGAGACATCACTTTGAACCTAATGTCACTATTGGAAAGCATTATTCTGAGGAGGAGCACAGGGTTAGGGATTAGGAATTCAAGTTTCAGTTTTTCAGCAAGGCACTTTCCAGCTGAGTCTCAGTATCCTTACTTGTACAAATCGTATCTTGCTAAAACAAACAAACAAACAAAAAACCCCAAACTTCATGCTCATATTATGTCTCATATTTTAAACTGTGATTGAGCAGATTAGGAGATAGATCAAGTGAACCAAAATTTGAGAACTGTGGAGTGGAGGAGGATAATCTGAATCTGAGAATTCCAAGAGCAAAACTGTTATTTTCCACTTATTGATTTATTCAAATATTCCTATAAGAAATATTTCTTGTGGGCTATGTGAAAAAATGCCATGAATGTCAAAAGAAGGAAAGGACACAGTCTTTGAAAGTCAACTGTTAAATAGGTTGGTAAAAAAAATGACTTTTGGTAAATTCAATATCTATTACAGGTAAAGGGACAACAAGTTCATATCAGAAATTAAACTTCTAATAAGAAGCAAGGTCTATTTGGGGAATGAATTTGTGAGAGAAGTCACACTTAAAAGCTATCTGGATTTTCATGGTTCAGACATGAAAATAAAAATTCAGGCCTGTTCAGTGTACATAGTAGTGGAATTGGATAAAACAAGCCATTTGCGTAGAGGACCGTCAGAGGACCACCCTCACTGCAGCCAAAGATTACCTTAGGGACGGTCCTGAAGAAGAAACAGCAAAGAACAGAGCAAGACTAAGATGGAGGGTTACCCTAGTACAAGAAGACTTTTAAAGTGTGTCAGGAAATAACACATTGAACTCAAATCTTTGAGTATGATTGAAATAATTGGTGGGTAATTATGAGTTCACTTAAATACTATAGTTGCTCAACAAATGTTGTGAGTGATGTGGTTTTACCCTTTAAGTCACAGAGTTGTTCATGAGCCTAATTATTTTAAATTATCATAAACTTCAATTCCCCAAAGGTTCTCTTATACAAGAGAAAGGTAACATGATAGTCTGTTGAAAGTAGACAGCCATTATGGCTGCCTTACATATTGTCATTTAATAATTTATAAATGTTTGCCAAAGGCTTCAAAAAAATTTTTAAATCCAAGTATAGTCAAAGTTTAACAACAACAATAAAAAGCCAGTGTGCTTGTGTAGCAAGCTGATTTCCCTACTTGCAAGTGCCATCTCATATGGATGTCAGGTTCCATCCATGCTCTGCTTCCCATCCAGATCCCTGCTTATGGCCTGGGAAAGCAGCAGAGGATGACTCAAGTCCTTGAGCTTCCACCCCTTGAGGGAGACCCAAAAGTTCCTGGATGTAGACTGACTCGGCTCCATCTGATGTAGTCAATTGGAGAGTGAACCAGGGGATGGAAGGCCTTTCTTTCTGCCTCTCTTTCTCTCTCTGTAAATCTTCCTTTCATATAAACACTAATGAATCCTTTTTTTTTTTTTAAGCACTAAGAAAACAATGAAGAAAGCAAATCCAAAGAATACAGTTAACATTATTGCAGAGGAACAAAGTAGAATGTTTTCAGCTTAAAAATCCAAAACTTTGGGACGGCCACAGTAGCCTAGTGGCTAAAGTCTTCATCTTGCACGTGCAGGGATACCATACCGCACAGGTTAGTAACTCAGCTGCTCCACTTACTTTCTAGATCCCTGCTTGTGGCCTGGGAAAGCAGCTGAGGATGGCCAAAAGCACTGGCCACGTGCTTCCACGTGCACTCACGAGGAAGACCCAGAAGAAGCTCCTGGCTTCAGACTGGCTCAGCTTGGACACTGGATCCACTTGAGAAGGGAACCAGAAGATAGAAGATCTTTGTTTCTTCTTCTCTCCAATAAAAATAAATAAATCTTATTTAAAAAGCCTCAAACGTTGAAATACTGAAATCAAAGTGATATAGGAATTACACTTTGGTGAGGCCCGTGTTACAGGAAATTTTATAGAAAATACATGCTTCTTTCAAAATATGAATGTGTGGGAGGGTCAAATGTAGTTGGGAAAAAACTTGTGTAAGAGCACACTGTGCTTTCCTTTTAGTGCAAATGTTAAGTGGAGGGTGATGTGGTTCACCCATATCATTTCCTCTTTGTTTGGAGCCATTGTGCTCTAATGGAAAAAACACTGGCAGAAATTCTAGT